GAAGAGGATGTGGCCAGGACATCTCCCAGGGCATGACTTCCTGATTAAACATTACACAGAGGTTTGAGAGCCTCAGTATTTGACCTTAACACCAGAACCCTCACTTGACCCATCTACCGAATTATAAGTAGAATGTGGAGGAACTGATGCCACCTGGGTGGCTCCATTAGGGATGAGGCAGATTCAGGAAGCATCCCATTTTTATAATGTTTAAAACTTCAGACTTTGGGATAAAACTGCCAAGGGCTGACCTAGAGGTGAGACCTTGACTAGGATAATTTCCTGATATATTCTCTTCTAGGACCCCAAGACTGATGTAGCTTACAGAAGGACCACTAAGGGAGTGCTCTAAGTGGCTCCCTTTATGCTTCTGTGTGTGAGGGATCACCCATTTGCTGTGCTGAGAGCCCACAGCTGACAGAAAGTTCAGGCAATGGTAAATTGTGAAGCCTGGAAAGTTCTTAGCCACCTGTGGGCATGGGCAAGACCCCTGCTTTAGGGTGAGAGCTGAGCTCAAATAATCAGTGGGAAGAGATGTGACTTTAAGAACAAGAATGTGAAGGCAGGAGAGTCAGGCCTTGGGGCTGGGAAGACGCCAAGTTGGTAATGTGCTTGCTGTGCTAGTGTGAGGACCTGAGTTTGATCCCCAGCACCCATATAAAAAGCAAGGTGTGGGGCCCGGCATGGTGGCTCATGCCTTTAATCCCAGCTCTTGGGAGGCAGAGGCAGGTGGATCTCTGTGAATTCAAGGCCAGCCTGGTCTACATAGCAAGTTCCAGGTCAGCTGGGGCTACAGGGAGACCCTGTCTCAAAAAGGTTAAAAAAAAATAAGCCAGGTATGGTGGCATATGTTTATAATCCCAGCACTAGGGAGGCAGAGACAGGTAGGTCCCTAGGGCGATGGATGCTAGCCAGCCTTAGGGCTAATCCTTAGAGTAAAGAAAATAAACTGGGAAAGGGACATTCCCTTGTCTCCTCTCTTAGCAGTAGGGTTTATTAGTTTCCTTTCTTATGACTGCAACAAAATACCTGACAGAAGCAATTTAAGAAAGAAAGGGTTTATTTTGGCTCACAGTTGACAGCATGGTCCATCACAGTACAGTGGGTAAGTCATGGGGGAAGGTACTTGAGGCAACTGGTCAGTTTGCATCTGCAGTCAGGAAGCAGAGAGATGAATGTTCCTGCTCAGATTGCTTTCTGTTTTTCAGATCAAATTCTCCCCTTATTCAGAATAGTCTAGGACCCAAGCCCATGAAATAGTGCCACCCACATTTAGGTTGGGGCTACCTACTTTAATTAACCTAATGAAGAAAATCCCTCACAAGCATGCACAAGCATGCACAGAGGCTAACTTAATCTAGATCATCCCTCACAGGTATGCCCTGAAGCTTGTCTCCTGGGTGCCTCTAAATCCTCTCAAGTTGTCAATTGATATTAGCCATCACAGAAGGCAAGGATTAAGTTCATTGCTAAACCATTATTGGTTCATGCTGCAAACTACCAGCCCTTGTTAAATAGTCAGACCTGAGCCAAGTGCAAGAGGCATGATGGTAGGGCAGACAGTGAGTGCCCACACTGGAGGAGTTGTGGTTGCTCTTCTGAGATTTCCTTTTACTCTAGCACTTGACTGTCTCTAAATATTTCCTGAGGAAATCAGGGTTGGTGAGAGGCACATTGACCTTGAATGTTCTTCCTATGTGGATGTTTGATTTTGGTCAGACCCATACTGTGAGGAATGGCTGTGTGTGTGTGTGTGTGTGTGTGTGTGTGT